TGAAAATGGGACTAGGCTTTGGACAGGGAAGGAGATGTTAGGAGTATGAGCACTTTCCTCTTCCTCAGATTTGCTACCCCTCCCAGGGGTAGTCTTGGCTATGCCCCTATATTGCGATAGCGCTGTTAGAAAAAGCTCTATCTGATCTTCAGGGATGCCATCAAATCCACTCTAGAAGAGGATTTATCTCAGTGCCACAAGTGGCCATAATGGCCACGTCGGTAGCGTCAGAGTTATAACAAGCAGGCACGAAGGTGTAGGAGCGATAATGAGGAACGTCGAGTACAAGAAGAGTCTGTACGCACCGTAAGCCAGCTGCTCTTGGAGTTAGAGAAAGCTCGATCGAATATGGCATAGCTTCTGCTGAGTGCTCATATCATTCGTCCCCGATAGGCTGATATGAGAAGCAACGTTCCAAACTTTGCGGAGCTGGTTAAAGAAATGTAAATGCTAGGACAGCATGTTCTCCTGCCAAAAGGCAAAACCCAGACTTAAGCTGTGGGTGGAGCGCGTAAAAAATTGACCATACTCGTAAGATAACCACCTCTCAATTGCGAAGAGAACCTTTCACTGAAAGAAATGGCTACTCCATAGTCCCTGCATCCAGCAACTTGAATTGGCCTCCGTAGGTGATGAAGGGAAGACAAATCACCCTCACAGTTTGTATCTCATACCAGGCATTCTCTCACGTTTTAAGCAGTGAAATATTTTCCTGTGTATCTACAACTTTTGCGGCGGAAGTGGGGTAATAGCAAGCGGTACGCTTACCACGGTCCGGGATTGAGTCCTGGGTCGTGCATCGCCCAGGCCAACCATTTTATGTATAGGCCAAATCGCATTCAAACCCCCCTTACGAGTATTCAATCGAAGTAGTAAGCCTGCCGCATCCCAAAAAGGGAATGATCAGCGACAAATGCTTTCCTTGCTTTTATCTACAATTTTGAAATTCTCCAGTTGTTCCAGGCCGTCCACAAAGCTCACATACCCTTTTCCAGGTTTCGCTCGAGATTCCCATCGCCTCCATGCGCGTGGACTTCGTTGCGGTGTCGCGGTCGTCCGGCGAACCGTGTGTTTATCTTGTTCCAATCCGTTCCCGTCCGACACATTTGTCGCTCCTTCAAGGCGGTTTGCGGCTGTCTTGTTCACATATTAGTGACAAAAACTACGTGATTTACAGCTTGCAGGGTGATTTTCCCACGATCGCAAGAACCCCATAAAAAATGAGATGGAAACTGAGCGCGAAATTCTCTAAGCCGTTTGTTGTCGGTAACAAGATTAAGAACTTGTGAAAGTCATGACCTGTGCGATAGCGGCTCGACGAGAGGCCAGCGCGTGCCGGTGGCAATGGAGCGCGTTATCTTCGCGGCTGGTCTTGCCCGAGGAACTCGACGATGAGGTGTGATCGACGAAGGATACGATCTCGTTGACCGCTGCGATAACCAATGTTGTCAGCGGCTCGCCCTTTGCTAGCGAACCGCTCCAACCGCATCTATATAATTATCATGTCATCTATCATGTCCTAATCAGATGGGTGAGCAGCGGCTCCTCTCCGCCATGGCGTTACGGCCACGGCGTTCCGGCAGTCGCACTTCGCGATTGCCTCGCTGCTTTTCGCTCCTTTGCAGCGTTTCGCTTCGGCGTCTAATTGATAGTTGTGAAGAGGTGCGAAATCGGGCCACCATGGGCGTAAAAACAACCATAAACGATTCGAAATTGCCGATTATTTATTACCGCACAGAGTGTTGTACGGAGAACGATGAGTAGGTGCAGTCTGGAAAATCACTGGTGAAAACAAGGCTCAGTAGAGAATTACGAATTCGCAAGAGCGCAGTTATTGGCAAGCAGCCTCTTAACATCATGGAAACAATATTTACTTATTTTTTTATTAGGTGCATACTTAGGTGCGCTATTACATTACTTGATCGCATGATCTAAAACGGATGGTAGGAAGATCTCCAGTCAAAAAAGAGAAAAAGGAAATGGCGAAAGGGGAAAAAGTTGAATCAAAGACGATTTACACTTTGGAGCAAGTGGAGGCGTGCTAAAGGCCGCATAGTGGTTGGAAAAAAAACATCTATATTTGATTTCAGTCGCTGGATGACGCTAGGGATAACTCACTTCCAGGCGAACACAAGCAAACCTTTGGAATCGGAGCCGGAGTTTTTAGATGCTAGGTATTCCCTACTTCTAACAATTCATCTAATATCCCACTAAGAGTTGCAAAATACTCATGTTTATTCAACAATGCTCATAAGAAAACCCCTTCTGAGCTGCATCAATTCCGACCTCCTTCAGAAACTCTCTTTAATTTTCAGAAGCTCTTCTATGGTCAAAGAAGGCCTCGGAATAATCGGAAATAAAGGCCTATGAATGACGCAGGTTACAGCCCACCTTGAACCTTCTGATTAACCTTTATCATGTTGTTGATATATGAAAAGGCAACAAAATTAAGACAGCGAATATTCCTGCAGAAAGTGTGAAGCCGTCTTCGAGAGAGTGGATGGATAACTAAGAAAGGCAAAAGCTTTGCAAACAAGCTCACTTCGCTCCTTCCTCACGGGCGAACCTTATTATTTCGCCAATCCCGGAGCTCATCACTGAGTTGGTATTGGCGAAATAAAATTCAGGGGAAAGAGGAGAGAAAACCTTGAACTGGCATACAAATTTATTCTGAAAAGGAGCATGCATTGAAGTTAATTGATAGGATATAAATTGGATGAAAAAAGCAAAAATTATATAATAAAAAAGGTGGAAGCGTTTGTTAGTGTTCCACTGTTAATCAGGTCATGATACAGTGGCTAAGAATTCCTTTTACCAACTTATTAATATTTTTATAATTATTGGCCATTCCCAACTCTGCATGAATTCAGAGAGATTTTGGCTGACAGTGATTTCACGTAGACGAAATGATAAGCAGCCAACGCTCATATTGCCACCTGGATAATCAAAATTTCTCTGGAGACTGAGCTAAAAGGTGATTCCTTAGAAGAGATGATAAGGCAAGGCGCTTTTGAAAATTTTGCTCACTTATAGAAAAGTCAAGCTCATTAAAAGAAGCCTTTCCTTCACTGTTTCCGCGAAGATTGACTTTATTGTCCATTGTTTACTGTTGAGTATTACGTTGCGTGAGACAATTCACAACAAATATAACAAAAAACTAGACAATAGATTCGCAAGCATATATCATACTATAGTGTGATTTCTATACATGGTGCAGAGAAATCAGGTGAATCTCACAAAACCAGGAAATTTTGCCACTTGAAAATTTTCTAAAAAAAAAACGTTTTTTTAATTTTCAGTAAGCCAGGGAGAACAATATTTTTAATCAGCTTTATGTTGTATATGAGCTTGCGGCTCTGGACGTACCCTTTGTTTTAAAGATTAGTCCTCGGGTTAGCCTAGAGCAGAGAGCCTTTTTTGACTTCCTTTTAGGAAAATTGATTCTCGAACTTCTGACAAAAAATAACCTATAGAAAGGCAGTTCTCCCAGTCGCTAATCAGAGTTGCCTTCACATCGACGGCCGAGCCGAAGCTGCTCCTCTTTGAATAGAGAGCTTCCGTAGGTTCCCAATACCGTTTTTGCAACTGCGTGGGCAGACTTAAATGCAAAGTGGTCCTCCCACGGAAAGCTTAAAACCATCAAAACCTTGGCCACAGTCGTCCCTGAAGCGTGAGTTTTAGTTCTACATAGCTCACACATTTCTCCAGCTGCGCTTTCCTTCTTTACGACTTCTGGTTGCATTCCATGAACATAGTATTAGGTGCATTAGACTCATACCACATTATCTCACTTGAGTAAACATTGGATTTACGAGCATACGGTTCAGCAGTCAGTTTGCCTTCTCCGAAACTCCTCCTCGCCCTCCGCAAACGACAGTAACGAGCGCGCACGCCCCAGCTACCGCGCACAGTTTCTTGCGCTACCGTACTTTTACGATTCCGCTAAAATGGTGACGTTGCTTTTTACGAGCATCGAATGATGCCTTGATTTGCACTATGTATTCGCGTCCAATGGGTCGTAAGTTAGCGACAGCAAAACGTCGTCGAAATAGTCGACCACCAGACGGAGACGCAGCGATGACAATGAGGTGGTGCTGAAAGATGGCACACGGGTGTGACCAGACAATCGTTCGCCAGCTCGCCCCTTCACGACTGGCTACACCCAAATGCACTTCTTTCGCCACCGGATGCCACCCGGTGAGGGATCTTTCTCACCAAAGAACTGAACACTGGGGGATTCTCGGCATTGCGACACCTCCCGCAATACGTTGGGGTCGTAAATTTGTCAGGTAATGATGAGGTAATAAAGATGTGGGCAAAGGTAGGACTTGCGCGCGCACGAGAAGGAAGGCGATTTGGAGGGCGATAAGCGCCAAGGACATTTGCACCATTTGTCAGACTTCACGCGCTGTATATCGACGACCAGGCCGAAGAAGACCCCCCTCGGCGACTGAGAAGACTGCGACTGGCCGTCAGGCCGCCTCCGCTTCGCCCGCGCCGGCGTCACATATTGCCTTGACAAGGTGTGTACGACATTGAGTGGCCATGAAAAGTGATCGAAAAAAGCTGATGTGATAAGATTTATTAATGGACGGAATAATAGATAGAAACCTGTGATGACGGCGAAAGGCACAACGACCTACTTAGTCAATACCAGTATATGTGAGAGGCAAGAAAACAAAGAATCGCAATCGAACAAAAAGTACCGTGAACGGCCGGGTAAAGTGTTGTGCTTGCTCCGAGAGTATCGCGTCAACATGACATACATGCATAGAAGTTCATTAGTAGAAATCATCAGTAATAAAAAACTAGGCGCTATCGCAAGATACGGGGCACTGTGGTGGTAATGTATTTTGAACCGCGTGAACCATAATTTTTGTTAACAACGGGACTAAGCCTCCCTCCCGCCGGAGTTCCTGCCTACTCCTAGGTTTAGTTCTGGAGCATGCCCCCGCATATTGCGATAGTGCTAAAACTATATATGTACATACATTTGTTACCTATGACATTTCGGCCGATGGAAACGTGGGAAAAAGCAAGGGAGCCGCAGACATGAAGAGTGGTAACGACGGTGGCATCGGGAAGAGCGGTTGCTGGAAATTGAAGGTTTATTTCAGAAAAGGACCTGCGCTGGGTGAGTCAGCTATTACCGTAGCCTGGGTTGACGGCATGATGGCAGGAAAAATGCTCGGATACATCGGGAGGTGCTTTCTGCAGCGAGCTCGACGATTCGAGAACCACGTCTGGAAAAGGTCAAATATTATAGCAGCAGGAAAGAAGGGGTTGGAGCAGCTAACCATGATCTTCTCCTCAGTAAGACCGGTCTGTCTGGCAATCTGCTCGCGTTCGACGGCATCCGGATATGTGTTCGTCTTGAACGCGTTCTCCAACGTCTCCAGCTGTTCAGCAGTAAACGAGGTACGATTTCGACGTGATTCTGACGGTGAGAGTGAGTCGTCGTCCGATGAGGAGCATTTGCTGTCAGAATCTGTGAAAAGGATAGGATTAGCTCAGCGCGGCACCGACAAAAGGCTGCGGATTTACGGGCTGACGACTTTCGCTATCAGTTGATGCTGTCCGGCGAGCGGCTCTCTCATTACCTAATCACGAGCGCCGAGGTGAGAAAAAACGCCCTGATCTGTCTGCGATGATAGAGACCCGAGCAAAACCACCTCATCTACAGGTTGTACACCAAGGTACAAGGGGCTAGGGAATTTCCGAAAAGGAAAGCCAAGTAATCCACAAAAAAGGTACATAAAGCATCGGGAAGAGATAACAGTGAATTCAAAGGACGTCTTCATTCCTGACGCAGTTTTCTGCGCAATGACCTGTGCTATATTCAGTCTGACATTAAAGAAGATGACGCGACCTTCTACTATGAGTATTTGTGGATCAACAGCCAAGATCTCCTCCATCATGGAATACGCTCTTTCAAAGGAAAACCGATGGAAGGCTTTGCAAATGCGCTTCCTCCCGCAACAACAGTACCTATTCATGGGCTAATTTATCTAAATACCTATTGTGGGAGGTTCAACTGAACAGGTTTCTCTTTCCCTCCCTACGATTTCCAAATTGTCACAATCCCATCTCTGAGTAGAGCCAGGTGCACGGCGCTTCCATCAGGTCCGCAGCTCCTTACATGATTAACAAGGCTGGAGAGATCCCTAGAGATCCCTCAGCGTTTCTCCACCCAAATCACTGCGTGTTTGTGCCTCTCTTTTGAGCCAAGGACCTCCAGTAGAGTGTCCTCAATCACTTCAAACATCCGGCTACCGTACCGCAGTCACTTGAGACAGCATGTTCATAATAGGATTACTTCAAATGGTGCATTGATGACACGCGCCGGACAACGCTTTTGTCGGGGATTACCACCGCTCAGGGGGGTTGTTAGCCCCCGTCCGACTAATTCTGACCACCGGCCAACTGTTCACCCACCTAGTCTAACGCAGAAGTTTTAACGAGCAAACAGTGTCAAATACCCACGTAGATAGCTATCAGATGCTGGGCGAAATTTATTGCGGTCGAGTCAATTAGTGGTGCTCGGTGATTCACTTGAGAGATCGCATCCATCCTAATGAGCAGACCATGGAACTTTTCGTGGTGCTATCCCAACTTACGACGGCAGAGTGATAGCAATGCATTCAAAGCTGTGTGAAGATGTCCTTTCGTTAAAAACGGAACTTACAACAAGCCTCAAACGAGGACGAGGGTCTCCAGTTTTGCGTGGGTCTTTTATTTCCCTTGGAGTTTGTGCCCTAGGGTCAATTCTAGTGGATGGCCCCATATATTGATAACGGCCTTTCTGTTTATTCCCCTCGAATGCTCGTATCAGAAATCTCATGTGAAGCGTGTCCTTAAAAATAGCCCATGTTCAATCAGAGGTAGCGATGACCTCAACAAGAGGTTACAGTAATCGGTCGCTCAGAGGAAATAAGACTGAAGGAAAAACGAGGCCGAGCGCGATTACGGCGTGAAATTAGACGCCGAAAAACTGAAAGAACTGAAATGAAACGTGTGAAAGGCAAATAGATCGAGGGGAACAGCGCGCTCCGCCGTACGTACCCATTGAAATGCCGAGAATACTGTCGATACTGTGGCTGAGTCGCTTCTTCTCCGGCTTTTTCTCCCGATGCCAACCTTTCCCCCGGATGAATCGGTTGATCGAGGCGACTGTGGGTGCCGTGGCTCTCGAGCACACTTCTGAAATCACCCAGATCACGTAATCACGTCAAGGTGAGCACCGTAATAAAATGCCTCGTTAGCCACGCTGTGTACTAAAGATCTCTATCTTCACTCACCTTGTTCAATGAGCAGCTGTCGTAGCTCAGCCGCGCAAAGATTCGGATTCTCCTCGTAGGTGACCATCAGCTGCTTCTCAATCGACTGCAACGAGATCTTTGTACGAGGATTGCCGCCAATCTGAAACAACCTCGCTTCAGAGTACTGAGAAGAGGCTACCGTAACGAGCAGCTACATTTTGCAGGCAGGCAGCTGCCGCTAAGCACAGCAAGCACAGCGGGCGGCTCTTTGTCTCTCAGAGGGCAAGCGACAAACACCGTACCGCTTCGCTCTCAAATTCGAATTTCCACCAGAAAGACCGAAAAAGCGAGCTACCTGTCCAGGTGATATTGATCCCGTTTCCGCATATCGATTGAGAATCTTGGAAACGGCTCCATGGGACACTCGAAGTTGACGACTGATGTGGCACGGCCTCAAAGGAAATGGATTACGGTAGCAGAACGCTGATGGAAGATCAGGTTTACTGCTTCAATACTGTGGAATATTTCAAATGACATGGAATGTCCTTAATCAATATTCTGCGTCAGACAATGCTTTTGTCAGGGATTACCTTGTCAGGGGAGTTAACCCCGTCCGACTGACTAACATATTTTTTTTGCAAAATCTTTCGGATAGATTTTGTGCTGGGAGGTAATTGAGTGGGCTATTGAAGTTAAGTGTGAAGTTATATTTGAGTATGACAGCACTCGGCCATTCGATGGAGGCTGATCTAATTGAGTCAAGCTCAAAACTCGATTGAATCATCCGTTTATACAAGGGCTTTCTTTTCGAGACATTCATGCAAATTAACCCTCCCCCCATCTAGAAGAAGAAGAAAAGTAGCCAATTTTTGATAGAAGAGGTTGCAAGAACCAATCGATCACGAGCGGTGCCCAAATTTCCAGTTAAAATAAGGAGCGCAGTATGGGGTTGGCCTCAGCCTTTGGTAGATAGGCTACATCATGGGGAAAGTTTGCCACTTAACAACACCGCTGTGCTGTCCTCTGTCTCAAAAATAGTCCATATTCGACCGTCTTGCATGAGTTATGCGAATGGTCGTCTTACAAGGGTCTTTCTTTTCGAGTACATTCATGCAAACTTAACCTCCCCCCATCTAGAAGAAAAGAAAAGTAGTCCGATTTTTGATAGAAGAGGTTGCAAGAACCAATCGATCACGAGCGTTGCCCAAATTTCCAGTTAAAATAAATAGCGCAATATGGGCTTGGCCTCAGCCTTTGGTAGATAGGCTACATCATGGGGAAAGTTTGCCACTTAACAACACCGCTGTGCTGTCCTCTGTCTCAGAATAGTCCATATTCGAAAGTCTTGCATGAGTTATGCGAGTGGTCGTCTTCTTGTCTTAGCGGCGGAGCTTAAGGCTCTGACGAAGGCGAAGAAACCAAGACGTGAGCCTAATAATAAGTTCAATCTTGAAGGCTCCAAAAATTATTCCTACTACCCTTGGTCTGGCTCTCCTACAGGCCCAGGTGCTGAAAAATACGGGTTTTCGTGAAATTGCAAAAATGACATGAGCAGGATCCAGCTCAAGCTGAGAGGTAGATCTTAACATGGCTTGAGTAGAACTCAACGGATCAGAGCCTCCATCAGTCGAACGGCTTCCGGTACGAAAAATATGTGCACTGATCAAAGCTAGCCTTCACAGGATTTACAGCAGTACGGAAGACAGTGTAATCTGAACAAATTTCTCACTTCTGCTGGGTTAACTTCGTACGGTTATTGAGGACGAAAGGAACGGTTGGTGGGAGGGTTAGGGGTTGGTAAGGGAAACAGCCTAGCCTTCGCAGTTTGAGTTACAACAGTGTAATCAGAGCGAATTTCTCACTTCCGATTGACGTTTCGGATGTATAGGCCCCTCGGATCCCACTACAGACCCAGGATTTCATTTCTGTAAAAATTTTAGAAATTCTTATAACTATTAAGAAGAGCAATGTAATGAATAGCAACCTCCTGTGGTTCATATAAATTTGCCATGTAAGAAAAATACTGTGATCATTAAGTTCGAAGGCTTTGGAATTACATATAGATTTGAAGTATTCTCTCAAAAAAAAATAGGAATGCAGCTTACTTTACTCCTTTTGACGCCATTTCGATGATCTGAACCCGAACAGCTTGTGGCAACGGGCGACCATTGATGAAGACTCCACCGAGCTGGTTAACACGTCCCTAAGCAACAAAGATTTGACCCAATACGGCTTAAATTCGTAGGGTTTTCGAAGACGAAAGCAACGGTGAGAACAAATCAATAGGGTCTATCAAAGTGTAGCTGAAACTTGGTTAGGATTCCGAAACCAAAACTCAAAATCCTTCAGTCAATTTAGGCTACTTTTACCAGGTCAGGTCAAGAAGACATGATTTCGCTAGCTGTATTATTCTTATTTAATTTTAATTTGATTGTTCAACTCAGCTGTTCTTCAGGAATTGATTGATTACAGTTGGGTCTACAAGGGCTTTCTCCTTTGCTAATGCGCTTTATTAGAGCCCCCAAGTATTAGTTACCTCGTCAAAGGAATGAGTCACTAGATGCTAACTCTTAGGCATTAGCGTTGTTTTTTCTCGTCATCCATGGAACATATATTTCTTTTGAGTGGCCTACGATCATGCAAGGAAAACGCTTTTATCGAAGGAAAACTGTCTACCTGTCCAAGAATATGATTGAAGGTGATCGCCTCCGTAGTCATGGTAGGGAAGACTGCTGTGACGACGACGGTTGTGAGTACCAGAAAGGAATGTTCCGCGTGCGCACGCCGACTCCGCCCAACCGGGTTACGGTAGTTTCACCACCAATTACGATGAAAAGAAACGCCGACAATTACTTGTACTCATCACATCGACACTCTAGCAACGATCAACTGTCGTTTACATGAACAACAAAAGGGAAGAGGAAATCGAAATTACCAGTACAGATGATTTAAGAAGTAGAAATACGAAGTATGGGACCTTTGAGATGTGAATAAACCATATCTTAAATTTCACTCCGGTATGCATTCCGGACTTGCCTGACAAGGCTGCCGGAAAATCCTCAAACAACTGCTCCTCACTAATTGGCAACAATGGCGCTAGCAAGATGCGGGGGCATCGTGGTGGCGATCAAAATCACGTAAGACATATACTTTTGTTGAAGACAGGACCAAGCTTCAGGCGAGGGAGGAGAGACTCCAGGGTGCTTCAGCCACTTTCATTATCCTCGGAATTCCTACGACCTCGTAGGCTTAGTTCTAGAGGATACCTCTGCAGAAATAAATACATATCTGTGCGGGCGTGGCCGAGAAAGAGTTTTTATTCCAACTTTGACGCTAAATCAATCCAACCTTGCTGAATTTGATTTGATATTCCCACCTACAATACACAAATATTGAATTCGATCGCAAAACTTCTCAATAGCACGAGTGAGGTCGGAAGGTTCTGCTACGCCAACGCGATCCGTCGTAGGCTGACATCGGCCTGTTACTGTTTCACCTAGAAAATTTCCACCCGGTTCGCCTTTTTTGTGCCTTGTCTAGCTATCGGATTGAGCCGTTTCGAAGAATGTCGTTTTTCGCCACTCAGTTGTACCCCTACCGTATACTCGGGAAGAGGAAGTTTCAGAGCGAATCTAAGGTCGGTAATAACTGCGTTTGTTTATCGTCGTGACTGGTTCTTTTTGAGTAAGCCATCTGAATTGGGTACTTAATTACCAAGAAAATGGCACATGATCTGAGATGAAATCAACGTAGTCGTAGTGCAGTTCAAACGATGCCGACATCCCCAAGGCGTGACCTACGCGTGAAACTATACAAGTGTCGGCAAAGGGCTGGCTGGACCGAGTGTCACATCGCCGTCCATTGGCTTCCACGTCGCATGCCCTCGGAACAGGTTCACAAGCCTATGTTTAGGACGATGTCGCGTATTGCTAAATGCTATTTATTTCAATGTTGACATCCTTAGTTCGCGATACCATTGGAAAAGTGCTGAAATCAATAAGCTGCTTCCAGTCTGTTTTCATTTTCTAGCTCAAAAGCACAAGTCAAGTAGAAGTCAAGTGAACGATTCCCTTTAGTCCGTGGGGTAGACCCCTAGAAGGCAATCATAGATGTGGCATTCCCGAGCACGGAAATCAACCAACAAGAGCGCTAGGACCTTGTAAAGTGAGCTGCTGCAGCTGCAAAATCCTTTACGAGGCTGTTGTCTAGTGCCTTCTCATCTTTTGTGCTCTCTCGCCTCATACTCTTCTCTTCGCGCTTCGTTAGTCTCTCATCGCCTTAGCACAGCCGATTACGGAGTAAGTGAGTAAGCCCTTCACCTAAGCGTTTTTTATGGATTCTTTTTCTCTTTTCTGCCTGCACATTTCGCACCAAGACATTCGTACTCGTGTGCAAGAACAACACCAGTTCCATAATAGGACATACCTTCGAAGCATAGAAAAGACCGTATAGTGGAGATGTCGAGAAGAGTAAAGATGACGCACCGTAGGAGTCCGCTCGTTGCTTTCCTTTCTGCGTACTGGTCAAACCATCTTTTTTACTTTCTGAAAATAAATAGGATCAATTTGATTCAGAAGTTATGAGGCCACTTCCCACCATCCATGGGTCGAACCGCTGATGGATTTTCAATCAATCGACCAAACAATTGAAGCCCTCCATCCTTCTAGGGTCAATCTTGAACAGACTAAAGGGTGAGGCAAAATTATGAAAACAATGATACCCCGGTCAGAAAACCATAATTGCCTGACGGAAAACCAAACTTTAGAAGTTTTCGGAAACCATATTTGTAGCAGCAAGTTAGGATTGAGTTTTGCCACACTACGTTTTCATGGGCCTTCAGATGAAAAGAAAAGCATTTGCGATGGTGCAACTAAAGTGTGTCAAAATGGTTCCGAGCTTTCTGCTTAACCTTTTTCCGGAAGATCAAATTTTTTTGGGGTTTTCACTTGCGTTTACTTTATGGGTTACCCATATACGATATCTAGACGAATCATTTAGGCGGTCCTCATGTAAGAATTCCTCGAAAGCTATGAAGTTGAAAAATCCCCTCAGCAAAAACTTTGCTTCATGGCTGATTCTGTCCTGTTAAAAAGCCCCAAGTAGTACAGTGCTCGAGGGGCTTTCTGCGCACGATAGAGATGGGGTCTTTACTGTATCCAGCCGGGATTTTATGTCATTTTTTTCATTTTACGAAGGCTGAAGAAGAAGAACGAGTTACTGCATGCCATAACTGTTGTGGTGGTGACTGTAACCTTTGAATCCCGACATGTTCCACTTGGTGATCTGTCCGATGCTGCTTATGCCACCCCTCAATTTCTTACTTCTCTAAATTGGATAGGGCTTTCAACATTCGGCACAGGTGTCATTGTAACCGGTGTGCTCGAAAACTAGAAAAAAAAGAACTCAAAAATGGATCCCATCAAAACTCCATGCCATCCTGAGGTTTCTTTGGAATTTCGCTCTTCTTCGCCACTGTTCTTCCAAGGTCTGCACATAGAAAAAATGAAGAAATCTCACCCTCATGCAGTACTCATAAGTTTACCATTAGTTTGAAATATTAGCCTATCTCCTACACCACCAGCATGTGAAACACTTCTTCAGAGAAGGAGCTGTAATTCATCTATTGCGATCGTTCCTGCGTTTCTTATGAATACATCTAGGAGTATGTCAGGAAGAACTTGGAGAATTCGACGTACTCCGGTAACCACCCTCCCCCCTTCCACTTTTTCCAGCGAAGCTCGAAGCGTTCATGCCCATAATCCATATGTCTAGAGAGAACATGATCTGTACCTATCATCTGCCTGATATTCATCCCTGAGCTCACTCGGACTTTTCAAATTCGCCGAAGTCCTACGCCATCACTTCGGTGTCCTCTACGTGTTGCTATGTCCCTTACCATCATTTTTCATTCACTCGATACGCCAATTTTTTTCTGAGAAATTCCGATTTTTTTAAAACTTTAGCGATGGGCGCTATTCACTGCGAGTAACCTCCTCTTTGACAGAGCGACTGTGAATGAGCGCTACGAGCTTTGCTGAAACCAAAATCTCAAATAAATTTTAGCAATGGGCCAAAAAAGTGAAACTGGAGGTTACTAGAGCACGTCAAACGCTTCTTTTTTGTCCGGTTACACTCCGCGGTACGCTATCATAGCAGTAGCTGTTATCACAAAGGATGGGGCACAGCTCTTCGAACGACAATGCATCTTCATGCTGGTGTACACAGGAAAAGAGCTAGTTTTCCGAGCTTACTAGTTATAAAGGTCAACCGCCGACGTGCATTGCATGAATGGAGAATTTCCTCATTTCTCCTACACACGAAGCCTCTCAGATCGCTGTGGCCATTCAACTGCATTTCCATATGCGTCATTGAGTGCTAATTCCAAGTCAGCTCTCCAAATCTGCTAAATGGTTCTCTGGGCAAAGTTATGACACCGCAAAGCGCAGCGGTAATGGTGCGGGGTCTCGGGCAGGTAATCGTGGGACCGACTCCTTTGCTGGTTTACTACTTTGTTTTGGTACGTTGTCAAAATACACCTCGCTTGCATACATCTATCCTAAAATGAGTTTCTGTGAACTCTGAGTACTATGTACAGCCATAAGCCAATGGTGTTCAGACTATATCAGCAACTCATTTTTGTGAGTAAAGGCAACCGATCCTACTATGAAGCGCTTCGTCTGTCGTCTGTCGTTCTGTCTGTATGTCTGTATGTCTGTCACGAAATTCCCTAGCTCCTCGGGATCCGCCTGGAGGGGCCGGGTCAAGTGGGGAACGGGTGGACAAGGTCTTACGAAGTACAAAACACACATCAGCTAAGCGGAGCCTCGCCCACAGTGGACGTGGCGTGCGTCGGCATGAAGTTTATTCGACCCCCCCCCGAGATTTCCCATTCTCTAAGAAAATGACCTTGAAGTTGGGCCAAAAAGTGGCTAAAGGTGCGCATTGGTAAATCACATCAATTAGAGAGACTCACCTCCGGGGGGATGGAGCTTTCTTACAAAAGCGGTGCTTTATGGAAAATTTCATAACTCGGTTGGGAGAAAGCCTACAGCGCAGAAAACAAATTGGTGTAGGGGAGCAATGTCTAAGGTGTTCCCAGCATTTATGACGTGGGCGGAGGTATGCTCACAACGGGTGGAGCGAGCTCTAAAGTGTACGGCATTTTCTACAAGTCCTCATAATTCGGGCCGGGTAAGCCTTAATGAGCCGGAAAATGGTGAGTAGAGGTGGATGGAGGAGTGGAGGCCAACCGTCATCGGTGGGCGGGGCTTGACTAAAGTGGGCGGAGTTTGCGACGAAAATTCATGAATCCGCTCCAGGAAGTCCTGGAGGCCGGGAAAAAGGTGGATGGAGGTGGGTGGAGAAGCGGAGCCCAGCTGTCATCGGTGGGCGGGGCTTGACAAAAGTGGGTGGAGTTTGCCAAAAGGGTCGCGATTTGGTCCCAAGAAGTCCTGGAGATAGGGGAAAACGGGGTTAGAAGCTGGTGAATGAAAGGAGGTCAGCTGCTATTAGTGGACGGAGCACGCACCTAAGTGGACGGAGTTTGCGAAAAGTGTCGTAATTTGTTTCCAAGAGGTCCCAGAGACCGGGGAAAAAGGGGGTAGAGGTCGACGAAAGGAAGAGGGCAAACGCTATTGGTGGGTGGGGCACGCACCGAAGTGGGCGGAGTTTGCCACGAGATTTACTGTCAGGAAGCGTCCGGAGACCGGGAAAAAGAAGATAATGGTTGACGAAGAAAAAGAGGTTGAAAGCGTCGATGATGGAGCGGATAAAATTTGGCTGAGAAGTCAGATATTCGTGGTGTATTAGGTCAAATTTGAAGATCCATTAGAATTCGGCGCAGATCTGTGTTGTGTGCGCAAGTGCGGCGCCATTGAAATATCGTGGAAAAAAATCGTTCAGAAATGATCATGGTGAAGGCAATGATGTAAAATTTCGAAGTACCCGATCCCACAACCTCTTCCCTGAGAGTTCGCATCACTGCCGCTGCAATGTTCCGCTTATTGTTAGGAGCTTCATTAGAAAAGTCGTTTAGCAGATTGGAAAGCAGATTTGAAAACACCGCTTCAAGACGCATATAGGAGTATGCTTATCACGAATGGCCACGGCGACCTAAGGGACTTTCCTTGTTAGATGAAATTACAGCGGTGAAAAAAAGAGAAATTCCGAGGAAATCCTAGTGTGGCATTGAACATTCCGCTTGTAAGTTCTGAAAAAGTCATTTCATGTTTCACTCCGAGTCTTCCAACTTTTTGTGGTTAATCACTACGCCACAGCGGGTTTTGAGTCGAAATTTGTGCTCTGAAATCCCATCGTTTTACAGCAAATCATACACCGTTCTTACAGGGTGCCCCATGAATAATGCACCTTTTTTTCTTTACATGTACCTTCTTCCAGAACGGATGTATCTTCAAGAGTTTTTACAAAAATTTTAGCTATACATTTACACATTGAAAAGAATGGCATTCTCCGAATATGCTCCCTTCATGTTGTGAGTACGGCTCCTGATTGCTTCGAACGCAACTCTAATGTGGCCATGGCATCTGGGGTGTTCCCTTCGAAAAGGCTCCGGCTCATCTATGTGGGTTCAGCGTTAGTGCAGGCTCTGCCTCCTAGCATAACTCACATAGGATGGTTCAGCACGACGGAATCAAGGGATAGGAGCGTCATTCGTACAAGGGTGTGAAATCGAAAAGAACGCCTTAACAGCCCAGATGCCATGCGGGCCACCCACACTAGTTGCGTTGTTGTGAGTATGCTCCTGAACAATTTTTACATTATATGCAGAAGCTGGGTCCTGCTGAAAAGATCATCACTCCTTCTCAAAGTGACTATATATCTCAGTAACAGGTGATGCACCGAAATGCCCCTTGGCTCAGTATAGTACCAAGGTGTGTCGCTCTGTAAACAGGCAGTGCTGGGGAGCGACCGGTAGTGGAGACCCCCGTCCAGACCATGATAAGGCTCGGCTGCTGCTTGTGCGAATATTCCTTCCACTTTCACTGACTTTCCCAAGTCCTCATGCGGACATCCTCGGAGTTTGAAGATTGTAGCTCCGTGTGAGGAATTTTGTCGTCGATGAAAACGGTGTCCGCATGGTCGTCATTTTCGGCCCTCGACACCACCTCTTTGAACTTCTTATCTCTGCTGTGCTCCCCCAGTTGGAATGAGCAGTGGTGCTTATGCAACGTATCATGGACTGTGAGCAGTTGTTATCCCACCACCCTCTACATGACTGTGTTTGGAAACTCCACTGTTCTGGTCACCTTTCTCGAGCCAACATGGATATTGCAGTCGTTTCGCTTCTTCATGCTATTCCTGAGATCCAAGGTGTCAGAATCTGCGGGGTGCACAACGAAGACTGCTTTTATTGGTCTTCTCTTCAGTACACGGTAGGCCGCGGAGCGATTGAAAACCCAAGAAAGCGCGATGCTCATCATCCGACCTAGCTGTGTGATAAATTAGGCACTCTGCTGAAGTTCAAGCGCACGATTAGATGCAAGCCGAACGCTAAGCCGTTTAATTTGGCATAGTCATGGACAAGATGATACAGGTCTGCAAATCTTGGACGAACAGCTATAAACATCCACAAAATTTGAGCACAAAATGTGGTGCAGTATCTATGGGACACTCTGTACTTTTTTCTGCTCTATTTAGCTATTTAAGCTATTTGCTTTGTTATCATTTTAGCTGCGGAGCAAACCGAATTTTGTATACATTATTATTATTAGAATTTGTATTTCAGGCCTACGTGACAAGGTGTTCAGAGCCCATGAATGACCACACTTTTTCCAGAGGAAGTTTTCCAAGAAGATGATAGAATCAGACGTACATGCTTTGAAGGCTTAGTTACGATTTCTTCTTAATATCCATTAGTATCTCCACGCCCCTGCTGCAAAATTTTTCGGGTCTACTCTGATAAGATAGTGTAGCTTACCTTGTTGTCTGTAGGAAGGGAGCGAGAGAGACCACCACTAGACCTTAAATTTTAGTAAACTGAGCCTACCACCAATGTTGCTGTTGTTCCGAAGTTCTACACGGGATCGGACCATCGGCTCCTCAGCGCAAAGTTCCACTTCTTGATGCGTGTTGAGAGAGCCTCAAGGTTCAGAGAGCGATGCCCCAGGACAGTCATCAACTGAGATCGCTTCACTTCTCTTGTCACCTCATGGGAGGATTCCGTTATCGAGAACATCGGCGAGGAATATCATCGGGTCTTTGAACACCTTCACGAAAGTGGCAGAAAGGCAGAGAGTCTGAAAGTCACCAACTGACGTCTGTCTCCGGAGACTCTCGAGCTGATACGCCAGCGTGGAGCCGCACGAGCTGTAGGCAAATCATCCGATCACGTCCGAGCATTGCCGAAGCTATGCAGAGAGGCGATAAAGGAAGATCTCAAGGAGCGAAGAGCAGCAGTATTAGCTGAAGCTCGCCAATGAGGTGGCCAATCTTGGCATCCGATGTTAAAGCTCGAACATTGATGGTACCAAAATAGGCGTACAGATACTTGTCGACTGCGAGATTTCTCCCCCTCTGCTTCACCCTCTGTACAATGTAAGGGCCGTCTCTCGGGCCGCCACCCTTTAGCCTACTTCCTGGCGAGGAGTTACGGCTACCCCCTCTTTTGCAACCAGAAAGCGTTTCCGCCCCCACAGCGCGACGAGCTTGGTGACACTGGTGAGGGCATTAACAATCGTTCAACCATTATCACAAGCAGAAGGAGGTGGTTTGAGAGCCACTTGCCACTACGTGGGCGGAAGTGGTGTAGGGGCAAGTGGCACGCTCACCACGCGAGCGGTCCAGGGATCAAATCCTGGGACGTGGGTCGCCCGGGCCAACCAAGCCTTCATCCCTCTGGGGTAGGTTAACTGGTACCAGCCTTGTCTGGGAGGATAAAAACACTGACTTGAACGTTGGCCCCCGCAAGTCATTGTATAGGTCACATCGCGCCACAATGTACAAATGGAAGTAGCATGCGTGCCGCATCCCAAGACGGGATTGATCAACGGCAAAACTTATTTACTTTTTAGTAATGCTTCACTTGAAAGCTTAGCTCTGTACCACTAAAAGGTTGTTACCAAAAATCTTTTGTACTTCACAGATGGTGAAGCAACCCAGGAGAAAAAGTTACGATTAAAAGCATTCTTCTTCGATGAATTCAGTAATATCAAAGCACATATTCAGAACAACGAGCATGTACACTACTACACGCATCGACCAAACAAACACACGTAAGTACATAACAATTTGCCCACACAAACAAGTCAAATGGTGTCAAGCACCCTAATTAAACTTACTATGATACATCGGTTTGTGAAGGAGAACTCTAACATTGTATTAACATAATGATCAAATGAAACCAAGAAAAACAAACAAAAATGGCACTATCGCAAGACACAGGGGTTTGCTGCTAACAAAAGAAATTATGTCATATACTCAATGTCGAACTGTCACAGCTTCCGGGCACTTAGCAAAACAAAAATTTCAAAAACTGTGGTATCAGCCTTCTAAAATAATCCTTCTAAAATAGCAGCAGTCGGCAAAACAAAAAAGAGTCAAAAACTACAGATTTTTTGCGAAAGCATATTTCATTCCTGCGCTCCTTTTTTAATTTTTTTGTTCGGTTTCCTCAAATCTTCCTCCCTCCCAAATGTTCCTCGCATGCAGCACAAGATTCAGAGTACGAAAAAAAATTCAAAGGACAGGAATGAAACTTGGCTTCCTGTTCTTTATGCCCCCTTCTTTATGGCACAAGAATGAAGCCTCTAGCTTTTCGACATTCTGAAAGTCTTCTTAAGCAGAAATGTTTACACAAACTAGCACTGTGACGGCCCGTGTTTTGCGACAGAGCTCAAAAAAAGTTTTAAACTGATCATCAAACTTCGAAAATGTCACTATTGTGGTGGTGAGCAATGAACCGAAAAAAAAGAACACGAGGGAGGTGAGTACAAAAGAATACTACTGGGATCTACCAATATGGAGAAATAAAATATCCCATAAAACAGAAAAGACACATCAGCTCATCAGCAGAACTTCCAGCGATTTCCACATTCGAGACAGAAAACAAAAGTGGTCATCGGCTCATCAGATGATCGAGTTTGAAGCTGAGTGTAGGTGCAGTTCTTCTTACCACACTTTCCACATTTGAACATATCCGAAGGGGTCCCTAGATTTAAAAATAAGTATTTGTAAGCATAGTATAAAATAAGTATCAAGTATGAGTAGATATTAAGACAAATCGGCAAAATTAGAAAAACGAAGAAGAAACCATAACAAAACACCCCTTTTAAAATAAAGCGCAAATGTATCTAACCTTGCTGGACGCTCATTTGATGTTCCAAGATGGCCGCTTTGTTAAATTTGTCACGCATTTCACGCACTTCATCTGACGCCATTTCTTCACTTGTCATGATGGCAAATTTGTCCGGCTTCACTACTCCAGTCAGCACGTTCTCCCTTAAATGGTTCCTTTATATCACTGAGGAAGACGATCACGGCGAAGGGCGGCCTCTAGTCGAACTCAATAAGAAAAACTTCCACAACAATTTGGCAGCTATCAGTGAAACATAGATATGCTGACGATTCGCTCTAGTGGAACAGCAAAGAACCAGATAAAAATACCGTAGGAAACATTGGCAGGGAATGGGCTACAGGTGATCGTAAACAACTAAACTTCAATGCTCGGAATGGGGCACAGAGTCTCAGCCGAGATCAAGATGTTGAGACTTGTGACGGGACACAAAAAGACAGGGTTACAGACAAGGATGTTAGAGCGGTAATACAGACTGTCCCTATTCAATAAGAGGTTGATAATAGCGTCCCTGATGGTATGGACTTCTGATGAAAACTACAAAGTATACCTAATAAGAAAGCAGTAGAGTTCGAAACACAGAGCAAGCGATCACGGGAAACTTTAAGGAGTTGGAGGAAGCCAATCAAGAAGGAATCACCTGAGTGAAGGAACGGCAATGGATAGCTTAGAGAGGGAAAATTTACGACGTCCAAGGCTGGTGTCAGAGTCCGCGTCGCTGATTTTCGCGATATGCGCGATTCACGCGATTCACGCCACAGGTCCCGGAAATAACAAGTGATCGATTAATACGCAAGGTGTTCGCCAATCAACCGTCAATTCTGCTTGATAGTGGTTGACGAACGACGACTGCTCATGATTCAACCTGTTTCATATTCACTGTTTCAAATATTCAAACGGGACACTTGCAATTCTTGCGATCCGTCGCAAGTTTCGCGAAAATCGCACAAGTCACGAAAATCAGCGAATCCTGCGACGGATTGCGGACTTTGACACCAGCCTAACAAGAATTCTACTTGAACTGTAAACAACAGCCAAATAATAAATCACTGCGGATGCCGAGACTAGAAGGAAGACAGATCCCTTCATGTCGCATAGATTTGAGATGGTAGCAAATGCCATTACACCACCATGTCGAACCTTCTTCTCCGCCGTTCAACAATTTTTGAATTGTACACCTCCTCGCCATTTTTGTCTGTCTATTATCAAGAAATGAACAAATTCTCGGACTCGCTGAATCCGCTAATCCAGAAATGTTGGCAACCTTCAGGGGCTAAAAAAAGTCACTTCCCTCCACATTAGAACGGAAATAATCTCACTTGTGGTATCATGAGGGGTCGAACCCACACTGATAGATAATTGGGTGATCGGCCGCCAAAAAGGAGCAGGTCGGCGGGAACCAGTAGCATAAAAGGTGAACGAGTGACTTTCCAGACCCTGGCCCGAAGCTACGCACTTTGCCAGGTCGAAACTGAATTAGCTTAACTTAGAACTGAAGAGTACATTTCATTCTATCAAGAGACTAAACAACAGCCTTATTTAACGACATCATAAGATTTTCTCACGGGAACATGGTGCATGGTTTGAGCTTAGCGAGGGCCACGATGTGAGCTATTACGACATTTCTGACACGCTGGTTGGAGGGGTGTCGCACATGAGAGCTATTGACTCCAAGAAGTTATCCATTTATTATCCTTAATCGAATAAAGAAATTGCATTTCATCTTCAGACTTTAGCGATTACAGAAGGCCTTCCCTAGTTCGACGATGATGGCGAATAACACCATATTCAGATAACGAAAAGGGCTATGAAGATGCCTACCTCATCATATGGAGCAGGGGACAGCTAAGGAATATTTTGCCGCAAAACTGTAATGGAAGTGGCACCCTGTGCGACAGAATGTTTCAAATGTGCGTCATGAACAAGGTGTACTTCTTTCTTGACCCTGTACATGGGCTTTTAGAAAATAACTAAAAGTGATGCAGCAGCACATTTCTTTTCTTAGCGGGCTGATAATACATAAAAAGAAGTGAAAAATGTAGAAAAACGAAATATTACACATGCCTGAGCGCTGGATTCTTCTTGTCTCTAAGATTAAAAACACGACTGCGAAGAGCGGCTTTGTATTTGTCTCCAGTGCCTTTGTGCACCTAAACGAAAGAATTACATCAACAAGATGTGAACTTTAGTAATAAGCCTGAGGTGGCATTCGTTTCTTTTATATGCTAGGGTTTACAGCACCAAACGTATTGTGTTGAGTTAAGCTGCGCTAACACCAATCAAAACATTGATGACACCCTGACGCGCATGCGCGTAGAAGCTAATGGATCGCAAAACGCGTGGTACGCATGCTGGAGCACTAGCATGCCAAAGCCCGCATAAGGTCACAATCTCCACACTTACAACCGTTCCTCTAAAATGCGATTACGATGTTCAAAAGAGAAATAGTTACGGTAATGCTTTCATCACAGTGGTCTGCTATTAATCAATTAGAGAGAGTTAAGGTCTAAAGTACGCTAAGACATCCCGATTGTAATCCGGCTCGCGATCGGTGCAGCCGCGACCATTCTAGCGCCATTAATTGCAGCAACAGGAGAGCCCGAAGTGGCGAGAGTAGTCGTGCGAACAAGAGGACACCCTCGCACGTTCACTCGCGCCACTTTTCCGTGCGAAAGACGGTTTTGAAAATAGTTCCACACCGAACAAGTTAAAGAGGAGCAAGAAGTCAAAGTAGAAGAGGCGAAAGCTGACTGACTCAGCTGTGTAAATGATGCTTGATCAATGAAGACGCTTACGCTAAATAATTTCTCTTCCACTCTGACGGCGATATCCTCAGGATCGAGAGTGCCAACTGGGAGCTCTGCGTATCTGAGAGCATTCAAAATCATCTGCGCTGATTTTAACCTAACCTGAAATTATTGCGAAGATCGTGTGGTGATTATTCAATCCATGAGACATGAAAGTATAGAGAGTATAAAATGCATGAGTCAAGTATATTAATATAGTAGACTTATATTCGAGGTCGAAATAATGAGAGAGAGGTACGAGTGCAGGAAGCATAAAAAGTATTAAAAATGAAAGTACTCGCTAATCAAAATTGGGAAACTAAGTGAGCACCACTGAGCGCTTTCCCGCTCTTGGAAAAGAATGAAGCGCTACCATGCAAACAGCATGCAAACACAATGAAGACATATTAGGTTGGAAAGAAAGTCCTGCAACACTTTTTTCAAATTTTTGGTTTTAACTTTATCTTTTTGTTTTACAACTACTGGCGGTCATATATCTACCATTGAGGGCCACCACTTGTCTTCCAACGCTCAGAAAAATTCTCGATGCTCCTTTGCCAAAACCCAGCGGAGTGAGGTCGAGAAGAGAGGCGACGTCACTTTCGAATTGGAGTTGATCGTCTAACTATTTCGTCATCAAGAAGATAATTATGGTTCAGGCATAGGTAACATTCATTTACGGTTCGACCAACGGGAATAGCTAAGAGAGGCAAGAATTCTGCCACAACTCCAGAATTTCTTACCGGGCTCATTTGGGATCATGATATTGTCAGGTCAGAAGAAATATAAATATTGCTGTCGCCGATAAAAGAGCTTATGACTAGCTGCCTCGACCAACTTCTAGAGTTTCGTTAGCATGGACCTCACCTACACAATGGTGCCCATACCGAAGATGTGTAGTGGATTCCGTAAGAGCTCTTTCTGTAATGGAGGTGCGGATGCTGTCGGCTCCCTATAAAAATATCAAAAACATTGAAAGCGCTGGTAAAGGTGAAACACGCTGTAGCGCGAACGGCATGCCTTATAGAAGCGATTGCAGATATGTCCGTCGTTAACACGAAGTCCATAGTTTTGGAGACATTTGTACTAGATAGTGACCTGCTCTATGGATTTACTAGTGCCCGAGGTTTTTCGATTTTTTTGGATAACTATTGACTGCAGCACTTACATCCACACCGTGGATTAGAGCCCCGAATATGCTTTACCATTATTGTTCATAAATGTTACCTATGATTTTTTCAGGAAAAAAGAAATTTTAGGAATGTGTTGCCAGAACTTTCTTCTAACCTAAATAATACGATTGGACAAAATCAGAATTTACCTCGTCATTTTCTAAATGCTTGGAGGAAATGGATGAATGATATTGGTTTGGAAGGAGCGGTGTTAACTCGTTGCTGGTGTGACTTTTGGAGCTTGCTGATTCGAATACTGACCCATCTGTTTTTAGCCGAGTTTTGAAGACGATGCTCATTTGTTAGGTGCCTCGAATGAAAATGTTGAATGTTTATAATGGCATACATGGGACAACCCGCAGGACACGGTCAAGAAAGTAATGCCGAGTACGGCGATTGATAGTCACAACAAACACCTTTTCTTCTTGTCCTCTCGTTTATCGAACCAAATTTTCCACTCCCTTGATAAGATTTTTTGCTTTCTTCGCCAGTTTCTCGTCAGATGTTTTTTTGCGTAAGTCGTTAAATGGTCATTCGATACGAGTGCTAAACTATACTTATGAGCTTATAGTCAGAGCAGTAACAACATTAAAACATACAGTTGAGCAACTAATATAATAAAAATACAACTGATAAAAAAAGGAAAATCGCGAAGGAACAGCAGTATTAGCTGAAGCAGCAGAGGCTGGAAGCAGCATCCGCAATGCCACCCGAAGCTTTGTCACGCTACAAGACCAAAATGAACCTGCCCGACGTCCGGATGGACCAATTACTGCATCCCAAAGGGCAATAGAGAAAGATCCTCCGACGACTTCTACTCGAGCTCTTCGAAGGCCATGTCCATCTGCGCTTACTTCTCAATCTGCAGCATGATACGTCCCACCTCAGTTCTCTCTTCCGAAGGTCGCGAGCACGCCCATCAAGTGTGCAAAATCGTACAGCACCCAGTCCACAGGTCAAACCGGAAACCAGCTGAAATGAATGCACCGCACCTATCATCAGAACTCTGCTGCGACCCTTCACGCGACCTGTTCGAATTCAAAGGTAAGCACTGCGTGAAACAGGCAGTCTTTGGTTGCCTGTACAGAAGGAAGGCTTCGACGACTTTGGCCAACTATCGCCCAACCTACCTTTGCTTAACTTAAACCCATCATTCGAGTTCATCTCAACAGGATTAGCAGAAGACTGGGATGAAGCGAACAGCCATGCGAGCAAAGCAAGTTTCAAGAGGATTCAGCGAAGTTCGACCACATCACACGACAAACCATTGAGGGTTCTTATCGAGAACAGGAGAGTACAAGTTGCCGCTCTGGTCTTACGTCATCGACTTTGAAAAAGGCATACTCTGTGGAGACATAATGCGCTCATCAACCTTCAAGCAGCCAGGCGTTTCCTACTTCCGTACATAACGGATGCTTCCGTGAGCCTACAGCATACTTTACGACCAGATCTTCACCAGCCTACCAAGGACGAGTCTCATTGACGTCAAGAGAGGGAGTCGACAGAGCGACACCCGTCTCGCCCCAAACTCTCAACGCCGTCCGGAAACGTCATGCGTCAACGAAATGGAAGACATTGGACGTGAGGTCGACGGCCGGCAACGACACCACCTTCGTTTGGCTGGGCAGCGACATCGCTTATAACGCCGAACATGCTCCATCACGTTAAACTAGTTCGGGAAATAAACATCATGAACGACTTACTCAGAGCTGAACAGAGGAAACGCAGCGCACAGAGGAGCTTTTAAGACATCGAGGAGTAGTGAAGAAGACGATGACACATCCGGCTCCGTGCCTACCTTTTCATTCTGGGGCAGTCTTTCCTGCCTAACCTTATGCCCAGAGACGTGGGGACTCTGCGTAGGCCAGGACGAACGCACGCGGCAGCTGTTATCCAAAACCGATCTGGCGAAGTCGACATGCTGGATAACCCTATCAACGCAAATGCTTCGGAGTCCGAACATGCAACGATCGAGATTAGGCGATGCTTGCGTTTTCACCAAACGAATCGAAGATTAAGGCGGCCCGACACCTTCATGCGTTACTGTGATGGATGTTGGACCGAAGCGGTTACCGACTGGGATCCCTCGTTAACGCTAAGCTAAACAACTGGACACCGCCGGGTCAGACGTGCTTCACGAAAGCGCTGAGACCTCGGTCCAGACTCGGCGATTGCATCGGCTAGCGACACCACGACGAGCCGCCAGGACGGAGCGCGCAGCGACGAGGCGCCAGCGATGAGAGCCGCCAACCACAGAGTGGGCAACGGCGATGACTCATCACACGATCGATTATCGCCGTTGCCACGGGAGATCTAACCTCTTTGACGATAATGCGGATTTGGACGTAGCGAGCAAAAGACAAAAAAGTGTAAAACGAGGAGAGCTTTATAGTACACATTGCTGGGAAACGAATTGAACGTTGGAAGGCAAACTCGGATGTCAAAGGATGTGGGGAAAACTCTGAAATTAATACGTTACAAAAGATAGTTGAATTATAGCTTCAAACTCCTCATTGTCTTTAAAACTATGAAAGGACTTAGAGGTCCGCGATCGCCAATTTACCTAACTTATTAGTAAAAGACGAAGTTATTATGGGTCGGCCGAGGCGAAAGTGCCACATTCCGAAAAGTTCATACAAATTGAGTGAGTGGGATCGCGTCGTGTGATGAGTCATCGCCCGTTTGGCCACTCTTGTGGTGGCGGCGCCGTCGCTGCGCTCCGTCGCTGCGGCTCCGCGCTCGCCGGCTCGTCGCTGGCGCGCTCCGTCGCTGCGGCTCACGTCGGCTCGCGGCTCCGTCCCTGGCGCTCCGTCGCTGGCGGGCCGTCGCTGGCCGGCTCCGTCGCTGCGGCTCCGTCGGCTCCGCGGCCCTCGCGGCGGCTCCGCGCTGGCGGCCTCCGTCGCTGGCGGCTCCGTCGCTGGCGTATCGACTCGGCGAGCGTCCGGTGGCGGGGTGTCCAGCGACGCAATTCGCGAGTCTGAACGAAAGGAATGAAGGACATCGTGCCCCTCGAGCGAGGAGGGTCTACTGAACAACTCTTGCACGCGACAGGGACGAATGGAGACGTTGCTGGAGCCCACTCAAGCAAATCGGCGACCGACGGGATGTCAGGTGATACAGGTGACACATTTGAGAATATTAAATAATATTACATTTGATTTTTAACCCTACTAACCGTTAAGACATCAATGGTTATTGGAAGCTTTGACAAAACCTCGAGAAGATCAGCAGCGTTGTCACCCTGAAAAATGTTCGCTAAACTTTTTTGCAGCAAAACGCAGACAAAATCAAAACATATACAGCATGGGAAAGTTACATAACCAAATCGAAAATGACATTGACATACAACTAGCAGAAGTGTGTATGCATACACTCGAATTGAAAAGAATACATCTAAGTGAAGCGATTCAGTAATTATCTAAGTATAATAAATGATAGATGAAAGTGGTAACTAGATGCTAGTCACCTAGTCCCTGAATTATCACCTAATTAACAGTGGACAATTACAAACATTTTCACCTTTTTAATTTTATAATGTTTGCGTACTTTAATAAATTTATGTTCACTTCACCCACTTTAGCCAATACACAAGTAATTTCAGTGCATGTTCCTCTGCATGATGGATTTATACCTCAGTTAAAGGTTTGCTCGTCTTGGGCTAGCGTCTTTATTTCGCTAATCCCAACTCACTGATGAGCCTAGGAGATTGACGAAAATAAGGTTCGTCTGAAGAGGGAGCGAAACGAACCGCTTTAAGTAGTACGTTTATAACGATTTTCTTCTTTTTTAATTGGCACTGGAAGTCGCAGAAAGGCATAACAAGTTCACGACAGCGTGACGCGGTAACGCGTCCCACTTTGCGCGCCTCGTGGGACATTGGGGCGCGGTAACGCGTCTCACCCAAGTCAAAACTTTTCTTGCGATTGTGCGACTTATTCTTTAGGTTTTGTACTCATTCTATTGGCCATAGTTAACATACTCGAAAACCACATGGCACACA